TGTTCATGGCTTTTTATTCACCGTACCTAATAAGCTTCCTAATAAATCTTTGCCAGACTTAAAAACAAAACAAAACAAACAAAAAAACAATTATTACCAACAAAGTTTAAGTTCTTCAGAGAAGTATATAAAATTCAAATGCTAACCTTCAGAATTAATGTGAACAAGTATCACCTGTCCACTGATTTTTAACTGCCCCAACCACATATACACTAAAATGTCCACCTGCCCATCTATAAACACAGAATGTCAAAAGAATTCAATTCCATTGCGGTAACATTGCAGAAAGGCCACTTGCTCATAATCCAAAGTTTACCCTACAGAGGAAAATACTGGGAGTAAGGACTGGTGAAAGCATTCTAGGGGGGAAGTTCACTTTGTGTTTATTTTCAACATGAAGTTTAAGACCATTCCAGCCATGATCTAAAGGAAAGAAAGTTCCTTCATTCATTAGCAAGTATTTACTGAGCGTCTTGTTACATGCTAAGCACCTAATAAATACCTGAAACAGTGCTACCAAAAAGCAGTAAATGCATTGACCTAAGGATGAACAAATGACTGATCCTATCTAGAAAATGTAATCTACTGGACACACAAGAGTCTTCTTTAGATGGAGGGTTGTGAGAGAAATATGACACAAAATAACCCATCACTGGATCAAGGTAATTTCCACCTTTATCACAAGCTTTACTACGAATTACAAATTTATTTCCACTGGCAAGGATCAATAATCAGCACCCCAGCTTACTAAATGGATCGTCAAAAAGAAAAGGCGGGGTTCTCTCTAATATCCACCCCAAACTGCAGAACATTTACTTCATTTATATTTACTTCACCTGGGTAGAATAATGTGAGGGCAACTGTTTACTGGAAAATTAAAGAGGCATTCTCAGCTCTTTGAAGAATTAATCAGGGAAAGTTCTCATGCCTATACTATTAAAATATCTCCAATTTAACTGGCTATTCTATTTCACCCAAACCCCTGACGTCCAAATGCTTATCCTTTGGCTTTCTTTAGTTATTAAAACAGTGGTGTTTAGGGCATCATTTTAAACAATTTGTTTTTTTCCCCTCTATTTTACCACTGATTCAGTCCTTTTACCCACAAAAATAAGAAATGCCCAAGTCTCCAGCTTCTGAAAATAACATCTGGTATGTGCACATAACAAAGATCTTGAGAGAATGTCCTAGTTTTTATTTAAAAATTTTTCACTTAAAATGAGAATGCTTTTAGCAAAGATTAGACATAAATGTTTTTACCTTATTAGGAAATTGCTATTTTCAACATTTACCTTAAACCACAACATGGATTTATCTTCTAACCTGTTAGCTTCCTGTCTCTCACCAGCTAGATTAGACTGTAACTTTTTGAGAGGACGGGATGACTGGACCCCAACAGAACCGGACCTGTTCCCAGCAAATGTATTTCAAAAACTCTGTAAGTCTCCACAAAGACATACATGTTGCTAGCCTTCAGGATTTCTCTAATTTTTTAAAGCTATTTTGATTAGAGCAGTTGTCCTTCACTGTTACTATAGATGTATACTAGTAAATTCTCAAAGTGTGGTTTCCAAAACCCTGTCAGGGGGTATGTGTAGTCAAACCATTTTCATGAATAATATTAAGATGTTACTTTTATTGTTTACCCTCATTCTCTCACAAGCACGCAGTGGAGTTTTCCAGAGGCTACATGATGTGTGATATCTCAGGAGACTGAATGCAGAAGCAGATATGAAAATGCAGCTGTCTTCTATTAAGCTAGACAACAAATAGAGTTGCAGAAATATAAAATAATGCCACTCTCCTCCTTAAATTTTTGTTTTGAAAAGTACAGTTATTTTCTATAAACCATTATCTCTATTAACGGGTAACGGATTACTGTTATTTGTAAATGATTTAATAAAATATATTTAAAATTTTTGTTTTAATTCTAGTACAGCAAATATCAATAGATACAAGCCATACAAAGGCTGAGTTCTCAATAATTTTTAAGTATAAAGGGATCCTGAGAACAAAAAGTTTGAGAACCACTGCAATACACAATTACATAACCTAATACACAGTGCCTTCCACAGATAAGAAGCTCAAGTCAATGCTGAAGTATAATTACTTCTTACACCCCCTAATCTTGTTGAGTAATGTATCTCCTTGCAAAGCATAATTCGGCATAAAGCCAGTCTGTCCTAGGCCTTATTTAAGGGGCTTTAGATATTTAAGTATGTGGGGTCCTATTTATAAAGATGTTCTGGCCTGTAATACCACCTATTACTTCCATAGTGTACAGGAGTTTCCCAACATTTTCACAAAAAATTACTTTGTTCATTCTAGCAGCAACCTGTGAAATAAATGTGAAGTGTTACCCTTTTTTACAGATGATATAATGAAACTGATGCTCAAAAGCAAAAGAACTACTTGTCCAAGGATGTACTGCTAGCTAGGAGAGCCTAGGATGTTGGCCTTTTGCAATTTGCTTGGCTGTCTTAAGCCTGTTTCACTGTGGTGTAATTGCAGGCTCCCAAAGAAAACAAGGCAAGGGCATTACTTTATTGTCCCAGTGCCAAAACAGGGATTTTTTTTTTCTCCTTAATAAGAACGTAATCAGACTCAATACCCGCTCACAGCATTATTTAACACACTGGCTACCCTTCTGGTCCACTACTCAAAAAAAAAAAAAGGAAAGAAAGAAAGAAAAGAAATTCAAGAGTGTTAGGGAATAAATAACAATACATATTACCCCAAGATGATGGATTAGTTAAGGATTCACAAATTTACTAATCATTTAATCACTGAAACAGGCAGGCAAGAACAAGATCAAGCTCAATACAATAAGACATTCTATCAGTGAAAGGATGCCAAGAGGTTAAAACGGGAGGCCCAGATGAAATGGGTTCAATTCACAAAATATGGACGGAAGAAAAAAAAAACACATAAAGTTGTAAAACTAGCTTTATTGGTTCTACAAATCCAAGCACGTGACTAGCCACCCTAGTAAAGCAATGTCAGAGACAAACTTTGTTGTAAGATGCATCAAGACGCCATCCTTCTCCTGGGAGAGAAATGACCCCATCCTTACAGCTAGACATACTGGTTTGTTCTTGCTATCAGCACAAGTCTCTTAGTTATGCTCCATTTTACCTTACGTTCCTCAAGAGATACTCAATTTTCTGCACTCTTTTCCACAGTCAAGTGGACTCCCTGACTGACAAAGGCAAGACTGACTCCCAACAGGATATCTGCCACTTGCATAAACTCTTTTCCTTTTGTAGATGCTTGTGCCCAGTGAGGCCATCTTTAAATTTGATGTGAGTTCACCTAGAAAAAGCCAGAAGTGTGCTGTCCACTTAGTATCCCTTAGCATCATTCCTCATGATATACACGTTTCTTAGTGTTTACTTTGGTCTTTTTTTTTTTCAAATCTCTTGGGGAAAAAAATTAGAAGTTACAGTTTTAGCACCACAGCAATAGCTACAATTACAGCTAATGCACCCCCAATCAATTTGTAAAGCAATTTGATACACCTTATGTTTTTCCATACTCAACATTCACTGTGGAAGATAAGTTCTTAGGTGAGAGCTAATTTGTACAAGTTCCTGTACTCTCATAAAAAATCTGCAATACTGCACTGTAAAACCTATTAACCAGTTAATCTTTAAAGGCTTCACGCAGAAAAAGATCATTTGACTTTACAAAGTCATGCAAAGCATCAAACCTCTGAGAGCTCCAAGAAACTGCAGTTATTTCTATTCCTTACCCTACAGTACTTTTTTTCTTTGTGGAGTTGCCTATGTTTTTCTCCAAGGACATAATCACCATTTAAGAAATAACCTGTCAAAAGTGTTCAGGCATTCTCCAAACTATCTTCCCAGCTCCAAATCACAATGAAAAATGTCACACACCTAAATTGTTCCATTGCTTTTTTTCCTTTATTTCTTCAAATGAACTTAAGATTTTTGAAATGCACAATTCAAATTTTACACTACACCCCAAGCTACCATTGATCATATCAAAGCTAATAAACAAAGACTCTAGCGGCGGCACCCGGGCCCTACCAGGAAGTAATCAAAGCAGTGTGGCTGGTGCGATCCTAAGTCGCTGGAGCAGACAATAAGAGGGCACTGGGGCTTCCAAAGAGCCCGGCAGAAGGAGTTAAGATGCTGAAGTAACGCAAAAGCATTACATAAACCTAATACCTGTTTTACAGCGCATGAACTTGGGAATCCTAACCCAATTTCGGGCAACCCAGAAGATCTGAACGGCAACTCGAGCCGCCCCTCCAAACCAGCGGCTGGCTCAGTCTCCTGAGCTTTTTAAGCCTGTAGCCTGTTTTCAAACTTCACCCTCCCTGGCTGATGAAAGACTCCGACCTCCGCCGCCCGAGTTCCGAATTCCGAGCGCCTCTCGGGGCTGAGGATTCCCACCTGGTGTGGATCGAGTTGCCCGAGGCTGCCGGGAAGCGAAGGGAAACGAAGGGAAGCGGGGCCGAGGAAGCGGCGAAGGGCCCCAGCGCGCCCCGCAGCCCAGACAAAGCTATGCCGGGAGAGCGGCGCTTTTCTCGTGCGCTGGAGGAGGGACGCAACCCGGGCCCCGCCACACGTGCGGCCGCATCGTGGGGGGCCGGACACCAGCCCCCACAGCCCCGGACCCCGCAACACGGGTGAGCACAGCCCCCCAGCAGCGCGGGACGGGGGGCGAGCTGCCGGCCAGGCTCCCCGCCGGCCGCTGCCCCCACGCGCTCGTGGCCCCCGCGTGCTCCCGCCCCTCTCGGGCCTCTCCTCAGCCGGCCGGGCCGTCGGGCCGCGGGAAACAAAGGAGCCGCCGCCGCTCCACCCGCCGCGCCCGCCAGAGCCCGCCTCACCGCGTACCCCTCCCCAGCCGCCGGGCCTGGCTCGCCCTCACCCCTTTCCGGGTCCGCGCGCCGGCCGCCCGCGGCCCCTAGACGGCAGGCCTGGCGAGGCCGGGGCCTCGGGTGCGCGGCAGGGCCGCCCCGGGGCCGCACTCACCGCTGCAACACCAGGACGACGGGGAGCCGTTGGGGAACTTGGCTGAGTCCGGAGCGATGCAGACACTAGAGCTGAGGTGCGGACACTCCATGGCCACGAGTAGGGCGGCGAGGAAGACCGAGGCTCGGGGACCTGGAGACGTGAGGGCGGAGGGGCTCTGAAGGCTCCGTCTGGGGTCGCTCCTCGCCGGGCGCTCGGCCGACGGCGGCTGCGTCCCGAGCCCTTGCGTCAAAGAAAGCAAAGGCTTCCGGGAGCCGGGTTTTCCCACCCGCCGTCTCCAGAAGCCCCGCTCCGAAGAACGTGGAATTCCGGGATCCGGGTTCTACCGCCACTCCTAGGCTGAAGGCTTCCGTCTTCCCAGGCCGGCCCTGCCCCGCCCCCAGACAGGCCCCGCCCCCATACCAGGCCCCGCCCCCGCCCACTCCCGCCGGGTGGGGTCCCGGAGCCCGCGGGCGGGTGGCCCTGAGATTCAGGCTGCGTTCGCGAGTGACTTCCCAACTCTGCCGCACGGGGCGGCCACGGCTTCTCCCCACCCCTCCGCACCGGTAAGGGTGGGTTGCCAAGTCCCGGCACGCCGGGCAGGTCCGCTGCGTTTACCGCGGAGGAACGAGTGCTCTCAGAGAAGACTGATCCTGCGCGTGGTGTGGTGGTGTGACGACACTGTGGTAGAAAATCTAGCCACTCAGGAAAGTGTGAAGAAGCAAATAAAAACCACTCGGGCAGACAGGCACTATAGGTCCCGTTTTACACACGGAAACACAAGCTCGGAGAGATTAAGTTCCTGGCTCTCGGTGGCCCAGCCGGCTGCGTCGGTCCCAGAGTAAGTCCCGATTTAGTGTTACGCTCCCTGCGACAGGTGCGATACTGACCCAGTTCTAGCTCCTGAACACGTGGCCTTTAGCCAGCCGCCTGGGTACTGTGTGGCTGGGCCCGCGGGGGCGCCCACGAACCTGGGATCAGATCTTGTCACTGTGACTCCCCATCTGCGTTACCTGGAGCACGTGGTTGGACTCAAGAGACCTCACTCACCAGTGGAGGTTCAAGTGAGATAGATGTAACCTGGGTTTGCTGAGCGCGAGGTCCCAATTACCAGGTGATAAAAAGGGAAGGGATCTAACATATGTTAAACACCCACTACCGTCTTCTAACCAGGCACTTTACACACAATATCTCATTTAAACCTCGCACCACTCTACCGGCTGCTGTTACCGTGCTCTTTTTGGCCTGAGGGAAACTGAGTTTGTAATTGGTTAATCCGTGAGGGACTGGATCCCCCCCTCTTTGACCTCTTTATGGAAAACGGGACAGGGCAAGCCTCAAGGAGCAGCTTGGTCAGGCATTACCCCCGAGCTAGCCTTCGATCTCTCTGGGGAACGGCCGTGAGGACGTCCGGGGCTATTACAAATATTGCCTCCAAGATGGGGCTTCTTGTAAAACCCGGCGAAGGAGCTGGAGGGCCAGGAGGCGAGCAGGGGGAGGGGGGAGGCTGATGTGGCAATCCTGCGGGCAGGGCGAAAGGGGGAAGGAAGGTCAGGAAATGATTAACCGGGCCGGGCCGGGTAGTGGTTAGAGCAGGGCACCTCCCCGCCGCGCGGTCCTGGAGGAGCCCAGGGACGCCCTCCGGGTCACTTCTCACTGCCCCCTTCCCCCCCGCCCCCGCACACACACACCCGCCGCCGCGACTCGTTTTCCTCCGCACGCTCCTCTGCTGCTTGAAGTTGTCACCTGGGGCATCTCTGCCCACCCTTTCCCCCGGTAATATTTTGGAATTAAACTCTTCTGTCGCTTTCCAAGTTTTATTTGATTGCTTTTAGAGCAAGCCTGGGTATGGAGATTTTAGGACAGTGAGGAGTTGTGGAAAGTGTAGCTGCTCAAATCTTAGCTCTGTTGCCTGCTTGATGGCCAACTGTGGCAAGTGTCTCTAGTCCTCCCAAGCTTTCTCTCTCTCTCTCTCTCTTTTTAATCTGTAAAACTGGAAAAATAATACTTATCTCACAAGGAAGATGTGAGAATTCATGAGAATTGCCACTACTTAGTAGATAGCCAATAATTTATAAAGCTTTTTTTTTTTAATAGCCGGTGAGGGCATAATACCCTAGGAAGGGAGTGGATAAACAATAAATCGGTCCTTTGCTCAATCTGACCTTCCAGCCCTCTCCGCTTTTTCTTCCAAGGCCTGGCTAGACCAACCTCTGGTTTTCTCTAGACAACTACCCCCCATTTAGTATCCATACCCTCTCATTTAGCCATTGAGCATGCAGTGTGACCCATGTTGTCTTCCATAAACAGCATGTAATGCTTCTTTTTCCACTCTCTGAGAGACTCAGTTTCCTTATCCTCTAGACCTCAGCTTAAACATCACTTCCTCAGGGAGGCCTTTCCTGACCCCACTCCACCCCCAGATTACCTCCAGCTATGTGATGCCCTTGTTTGCCCTCACACTGCCTTGTAAAAACACTCTTCATGCGTGTAATTATTTGTTTAATGTCTCTCTCCCCCTTGGAGGTCCATACGGGTAGCAAACAAGTCTGTATGGTTTCCTGCTGTATTCCTGACATAAGGTGTGGAACATGTAGGATGTCCAATAAATAAGTGTTCAATAATGAATGGTCGATTAGCAATGTCTATCTTGGGCAGGAGCATAGGAAGTGGCTGAGTATATGTCAGGTATTTGCTTCTCCCCCTCAACCCCCAGGTGATCTCTAAATTTCCTTTTGGCTCTGAGTGTATCATTTTAACGGCATTAGGAATGTGAAAGCCCCTAAGGTGTAAACTGCTTTAAAAAAAAAAAGAGAGAGAGAGAAAAGAAAGAAAGAAAGAAAGAAAAGAAAGAAAGAGAAAAAAGAGAAGGAGGAGGAGGAGAAGAAGAAGAAAGAGATTTTCATTAGCCTCTTCTCCTCCCAACCAGAATTAAAAACTCCTCCGGAGCAGGGGCCCTAATTTAGTCATCACTGACTGCTAAAGTCCCCAGAGGGTGAACTATGACTTTCAAACAGTCCAGAGAAACTGGCAAAATCAGAAAGGCCCTCCTGGGGCTTTCACTAGATTTCCCTAAAACTAGAGACAGAACTTTCCTGTGTCTCTGAAAGTTTTCATTTAAAAAAAAAAACACACAAAAAACAAAAAGCCTTCGCGGTGAGTAAATGTGTCAAACTCGGGGAAGACCATGGGGCACACTGGGAAATCCGCTTTCTCAGTCCCTAATCTCTTCGGCTACATACAACAACAACGTTTGCTTTTTTGTTCTTGGCGCACATCCCTTTGGCGCTGAGGAGCTCTGATACACTTAGAGCCCTAGTGGTAACCAGCCAGCCTCCGGCTCGGGCCCTAGGGAACCGCGGCTGCGGGGATTCCCCGACCAGCTCCCTCCCACCCACCCCCGCCGCGAGGCCCAGGCGGGGGATGGGGGCGCTCCTGCCAGAAGAGGCGGGTGTGTTTTCCAAACTTTGCACCTTTCAGAGGAGAGGAATACACGATTTCGACCGTGCTATCAAATGTTTCTCTTCTAAAAAAAATATATATATATGTGTGTATATATATATATATATATATATAAGGAGGGGGGTTGCTGAGAGGGGACGTCACACGTTGCCACGGCAACAACGATCAGGACAGGTCTCAAGGTTTCTGTGACCTTCCCCTAGCCTTACACTTGAGACTTGCCGCGGAATCGGGGGTCCCGCCCGAAAGCAAGGATTACAAACTGACCAGGCCCTGGGGAAGACTTAGCTTTGATTATCCCCACGCAGGCAAGGCTTATTGGAAGCACCCAGAGAGCTGAGTTAATTATTTACCCTAGAGATTTTTCTAGGAGCAAAGCCTCCTTGGGAAACCAAAGTTAGATCTAGAGAAGGCTCGGTGAATATTCGGGGGTGTGGGGCGGGGAGGAGGAACAGTGCCTCAGGGACTCTTTATCACCTGATTTAATTTTCCAAGAATCACTAATCTGATACTTCCTTGCTTGGTTACTTGTTTATCTATTATCATTCTCTTCCATGAGAGCAGAGTCCTTTCCAGTCCTGTTCACTGCCTGACTTCCAGCTCCTGGAATTCTGCCTGGTCTTTGGCAGGTCCTCGGTAACTATTCGAATGACTGAATGAAGGGAGGTGGGCGTGGCCGTTAGACAGCAAGGGCTCTCTTTCGCTCTCAGGAATCCCAGCCGCCTCATTCTCTCACTTCTTCCCATTTACCCGTTTCGCACTATCTCCCTGCCCAAAATTCTTCAGTGGTTCCCCATCTCTGGCAAGATAAAATCAATCGAAAACCCACCTGCCATCACAGTCACCTGTCCCTTCTCCTTTGCTAAGGCTTATTCATTCATTCATTCACTCATTCATTCATTTATTATTTTTACTGTTCCAGCGGCACCAAAAATAGCTCCTTCATTATAGAAAATGTGCTTCCTTACACCTCTGTGTCCTTCCTCACCTGTCTGCCTTCTACCTGGCCAGTTCCTACTCCTTCACCATGAAACACATAACCTCAAGGAAGTCCTCCCTCACTCACCTAAGCAGACTTCTAAGCCCCCGCCCCCAACCCCCCCATTCTGTCCCAAATAGCTTGTCACATAGTGCTGTTACTTTCTGTTTACCGCTCAGTCTCCCTTGGGAACAGATGCTTTTCTTTTTCTCCGTGGATACTAGGCACCTAGTTCAGCAATTTCAGATATTAAGACAAGATCATATTTGTTGATTGAATGTTGAAAATGCCCCTTTTGAGAGTAATTATATCAGTCATTAAATGTAATGGTCCCCTAGGTATTCACAGAAAGAACTGCAATTAGGTAACAACAGAAACCTAACGTTTTGGGGTCCCAACTAGGTGCAAAATACTATATCAAGTGGTTTTCATTTCTTCTTTAATCCCCACAACTAACCTGAGAGGTAGGTATTATCATTTTCATTTTGATGGTGAAAGAACTAAAGCTCAAAGAAGGTGAAATAAGTGCACAATTTTACACAATTAGTACTTGGTCTTTTGTCAAAGGTGGTAGAATTTCACCCCGCATACACTTGGTCAGCTAAAGGATTTTGCAGGATTATGTGGGGGTAGCTGAAGTTCCTAATAATGAAGTCTCTAATGTACCAAAGGACAGAATAGCCTTCTAACTAAAGAAAGAATCATTTCAGACTATTGTAATAATCATTATGTCATCAACATCTTCTTGTGTATTGCTTTTAATGCTTTCTTCTTTATCATTGAAATGTGAACTTCACAGCACTTTCAGGAAGGTGATGAGACAGTTCTCCTGTTTAAAGACCCACTTTGCAGATAAAGCACTGAACGATTAAGCAAAAACAGTGTGGCCCTAGCACCAAA